TCAGATGCCTGTTGTTGGATGCAGAGTACACGTTGTTGATGCAAACCCAAAGTCAAGTCCAGCCGCATAAGCCCTTGAATAGCGGATATATCTGTCTAGTCTGCCACCTGTCCGCCGGCCATGCGTCTCACCCCCAGCATCATAAACGCGGTGTACCCGAAGAGATGATAGAACAGCAAGGAGAAAGAAGAAAAAAAAAACTTGCACTGTCCGCTTTCGACTATCATCTCCGCAACCGGTTATAACGTAGAGGCTCGCCAAACATGCCGCACCGTCATTGCGTGATAGAGGACGTCAAACACCCAGCGCCATCAAAACCCCCAAAAGAAACCGTTTGGTATTGCCTAGACGGCGTACTTGCGGGTCCATTCCCGAGCGGTCGCCTCGTACCGGGGCCGGTCGGTCTTGTACACGTGCGCAATCTCAGGCACAAGGGGATCATCGGGGTTCGGGTCCGTCAGCATGGAGCAGATAGAAAGGAGAACTGTTCAAGTAGTTTTCATGTCAGCTGTTTGTTTTTTTACATTTTATCTCTTCGATATGTCATATGAAATGGCGGCCTACCTTTGGAAATAGTCAGAGCAGGGCTCCACTGGTCTCGAAGAATATCGAGGCAAATGCTGCCGTTGCTGTTGATATTAGGGTGATAAATTCGGGTAGAAAAGTTGACTTTCGGAGGCTTAAAGGGGTAATCCGTAGGGAACTGAATCTTCAGGAAGAATACGCCTCCTGAGTATGGTGAATCACCCTATGCCGGTCGTTAGTTGTCCATCTTGTCAAAAAGAGGTGTTGTCGGCGGAGCGTCTTGAATGATGCCAAACAGCAAAACGCTGCTTGAGCCAAGCAAAACGGGGCTAAGGATTTAAGGATATCAACTCACGGGTCCCATAATAGTAGCTTGCCAGTGAAACTGCAGGACATGTTAGCATATCTTGATACAGAGCGTCGATATCGTTCCACTCGGACAACAGCCATCCTTTGATGGAGTTGACGCATAGAAACAAGGCTTCCAACTTACCAAATCTTCTCCAACAGGACCAGCGGAGCAGGAGGATGGCGGGTCACTAATCGGTCGACAAAGTCAGCATCCACAACTCGACGTTCAAAACCAAAGTGTGACTTGGTGCCAGACACTCCAGATACTCCAGAAGTCGAGCATCAAGCAAGCCCATGCCGTGAGCTGGTGAGACCCCCGCTCAGCATAGCCCCACCTCACACGACGGCTTGGGCTGCAAACGACGACACTCCTGATGAAAGTATCCAGAGTGGGAACCAAGCTAAGGGCACAGCATAGGCCATGGGACGAGGAGAGGGAAGACGGGAGAGGGGAGATTTACGTGCCGAGGTCCTTGAGCTCCTTGTTGATGCGCTTCAGGGCCATTGTGATGAGGGTATGTGGTATCTAAGAGGGTGGTGGAAGATCGATCTCGGATCGAGGCTGGCAGGCTGGCGTCAGTATTTGCTTCCGGACTGGTCGGGTGACGATGCGGAGACGCTGCACTCACGGGCGAGGAAGAATCAAAAGAGCCTAGGCGGACGTTGGAGACGATGCAAGGCGACCGTCTGCAAGTCCAGAGCGCTAGGAAGAGGCTTTATTTGATCGGGGGTGCAGAGTCCCTGATGGCGGTCCTGTGCAGATCGAGTTTGTATGTCGAAGCAAAGTGGAGGGGTTGGAAGGGAAGAGAAGAGAGTAGTACCTAAGTAATGAGTAGCGGTAGCCACCAGAAAAGAGCGGGCTTGCACACGGCCAGTGGCTGCGAACCCACGCACACAAACCACTAACACTAACACTTGGGTAACTAAGCAAAGGCAAGGTCCGGGAAAAAAGAGTCCAGTTTTTTTTTTTTTTTTTTTTTTTTTGCTATGGTTTTTTTTTTTTTTATTATTCCTAGCCAGCAAGCCAGCCAGCCAGCCTCAAATGTGGCTAACAGACACCGCCACTGCAGGCTGCATCTTAGGCCGTGACCCGGACACTAACAGGCGCGCAGCGGATTTGCACGCAAGCGGCGATAGCGGCGAGGGCACTTGTCGTCACGGCCCGAGGTGACATGTCGCCATCCATGTCTTTCGCTCAGCTTCGACGCCAAAACCGAGGCGTGACTCGAACTCGATGCTCTGACACTCTGACACTTTGACACTGACGGGATGCACCGTGATGGCCGGGCGGCCCTGCGGCTTTGCGGCTTTGCACGCACAGCTGTGTGTGCCTTATGTCAGGATGACCAAAGGGGGGGCACCTTGTGATATGATTGATTACATGCACATTCTACGCTGCACTATCGGCCCCCTTTCCCTTTCCCTTGATACCGCTAGTAGTTGCGATGGCTAGACTCACAAGGCACTTGGCGTGCTTTCTAATCCGGACGACCAGCTTGCCTCAGCTCGGAGACGGAGACGCAGTAGCATTCTGAATGGAGCAGCTGCTTCGTCTGAAAGCCGTGGATGGAATCGCACGGATCTGTCATGTCATGGCACCCCACGGTGGGGTTTCTGGCGTCGGAGAATCTCGCTCCAAGGTTTGCGCTTGGTGGTTTTGACGTGATTGGGGAAAACCTTACGTCTCTCCTTTTAAGGAATCACAGGCCCAAAAGGTTACATAAGGTACATCTATTGAAATGGTATTAGTAGTTCGTAGAGGTAGGTGGGTGCTGCCGTGAGTAGGCACTTATAACATTATTGATTATTGCTTGGCATCCGACTCATGACCACCTGCATTCAAGCGCAGCATCACGATGCATGCCAAGCACAATCTAGACTTGTATCTTACTATACGTCTTGCATGTGTCTGTAGCTTTTAATTTCACCATCTATGTACCTAGCTAGCACATTTATACAAAGGCTTGGATTCCGGTAATCGCCCTGCCCAATATCAAGCCTAGACATCCCCTCGTTAGCAAGAATCCAGCAGAGCGGATAAAGAAGCACGAAATACTTACTGTGGATATCGCTCTGTCCCTCATACGTCTGCGTCACAAACAGGTTCGCCACATGTCTTCCAATGTGATACTCGTCGCTCACGGCGTTGCCTCCAAAAATCTCCTGCAGCACGCGGACATTCCGCAGAGCAGAATCGCAGTTCTGTCTCTTAACCATGCTAATCATCTCGGGAGTCACCTTGCCCTCATCCTTGAGTCTGCCGACCTGCACCGCGGCCAGCGTGCCATAAGCGGCATCTGTGGCAGCATCGGCAAGCTTCTTCTGAATGAGCTGATACCTGGCCAGGGGGTTGCCCTTGAATTGCTTGCGCTCTAGGGAGTAGGTGCGAGCTCTGGCAATGGCGTCCTCCAAGGCGCCCATGACACCGAGCGAGATGCCATATCTGGCGCTGTTGAGGCAGCTAAAGGGTCCCTTGAGGCCCTCGACGTCAGGGAACATGTTAGCTTCCGGCACGGGGACCCCGTCCATCTGGATCATGCCCGTGATGGAAGCTCGGAGCCCGTTCTTGTCCTTGATGGCGGGTGTCTCGAGCGTTCCGGGCGGGCAGTCCTTTCTCTCAATCAAAAAGCCCCTGATCTTGCCCGTCTCTTGCAGCTTGGCCCAGACCAGCAACACATCGGCAATGGGGCTGTTGGTGATCCACGTCTTGGCTCCGCTCAGCGAGTAATACCCCTTCTTGGTGGGATGCGGCTTTGCGACGCTCTCCATGCTGCCCGGGTCACTGCCATGGTTAGGCTCCGTCAGGCCAAAGGCGCCAATGAGCTTGCCCCTGGCCATCTCCGGGAGGAATCTCTCCTTCTGCTCTTCGGTACCGAACTCGTGGATGCCGCCCATGACGAGGGACGACTGCACCGACATGCCAGACCGATAGCCGCTATCGACTCGCTCGACCGCTCGTGTAATCAGGCCGCCGGCCACCGAGGACACGCCAGCGCATCCGTAGCCCTTGATGCCGGAGCCAAGCAGGCCGAGCTCGCCCATCTCCTCGAGGATCTTGGGGTCATAGTGTTCGTCTCGGTAAGCCTCTGAAGGAAGAGAGTCAGCAGGTTAGCCATGCTGCATGAATAGCAAGTGTAAGGGATCATGAGGAGAAATTGGTAACCACATACGCAAGACTCTGGGTTGCAACCGCTCCTGGCAGTATCGCTCCGCAGTTTCTGCAACGGCCACCTCTTCCTCGGTAAAGAGATTCTTCGCATTGAGGGGATCCTCCCAGTTGAATGTAGCATAGCTTCTTGCCGCAGCCGGTCTCGCAACAGCCGTGCGGGCAATGGCCCTGAAGGATTGTCGCAGCATGGTCAATCGGGTCCGCCTTTGTCTGCAGAGAGGGGAATTGGCACGATCGTGTACATGCTTGAGTTGAATGAGGCCACCAGCTGCGTTATGTATTATGTACGGAGTACTGGGCTAGCAATCGTCTCTCTGCTCCTCGGTAGCCCATCGGCAACTTCCCCAGAATCGCGCCCTCAACACGCTAAATCCAAGCACTAATCCGATGAAACCCGACCATTACCTTCTGTGGAGGGCGCTGAACGACAAGCAATCTCCACCTGGAATCTCCACCGCCGCCACGGCACATGATGCGCTTGCAATTGCTCCGGAAGATGCCTCAGTAGGTACTAGTAGGGCGTCATCCGCGGCGGCTAAAAATGGAAGATATTGGGAGAAATAATGGACGTAGGCAAAATAGCAACCTCGAGTTATAGCCCCGATTTCGGAATTCAGGAGGGGGTTGCTGTAATTATTAGTGCTTGCATCCAGTGACATGCGATTTGATTCAATGCCAATTGCATGTACTCCGTATGTACATGTAGTATGCCCATATAAGAGAGATTCCAGTCATGTTCCGCATGATATGCACATGTACCTTCTATTTGCCGTACCTGTATATACCATGTATCTAGGGGTTACTCCAATAAAAGGCGGCATGTGCTCTGTCGACTTCAAAGAATACCTCGTATCAATACAGACATAGTTCTACTTTCTAACTCTACTGACGGAGTCGTCGTATTTGCTGTATCAACAACAATCATGTCCGTATCCGAATCTAAGCCTCCCTTAAATTACTCTTCTTTGCCCTCCTCCTTCTTGTATGCCTGGCTTAGCCTGTCCAGCTCAGCGGTGGCCATCGCGATTCCCGCGACTACCAACGGACCCGCGGCCCTTTCTCCCACAGGAGTGCTTTGTCGAGGGCTTCCAAGGTCAGAAGGGCTGTGCCGTTCTAGAGACCCTCGCGCTCTCCGTCTCCTCTCTCGTCCGTCTTGGAACCTCGGCATGTCGAGTTGGTCGTTTGCTGAGCCTCGAAAGGATCTTGGAGATTCCCAGGGGCGCCGGCGGCGGAATCGGACGGCGATGCGTTCGCGAAAACCATAGCCTGGCGGCGTGGTAGGTTGAGAGCGAGAAACACGCCTGCCATAGTGGCACTGCCAGCCTCCCACTTGGCGTGAAGTTGCCTTTTGATTTCTTATTAGCACGTACGCCTATGCTGATATGGGGTTTCGTAGGCAATCATTTACCCAAGGCTGCCTTGTGGTACGATTCAAATCCGGACACGATATCATGCACTGCTGGGCTATGCCCGGCGAGCCATCCTGGGCTGTAAGTGGCCACAGCTGCGAAGCTTGTATAAGATTTAATCTTGATAGCCCTCGATCTCCCGAAAAGAGCTTGCCGCTTTGCGGCGGGCTCACATCGCCACGTCCACCTGCTGATAAGGCTTGGCTCGGCAAAGGAGAAGGCCGACCGGAAGATGGCGCCAGCGATTCGGGAGATTCGTTGGAGTTATTGTTCATATTCGAGGATACGGTGAGAGATTGCCGGTCGGATCGCTAGGGAGTTTGGGAGTTTGGGAGAGGTAACAGCTAGTTACGTAAACCTTGAAGCAGAATTGTTGCGATGCTTGCCTATACAAGAGCGCAACCTATTCACGCAAAAGTCAGAATTATTCAAGTTTCGGAAAAGAGGGTAGCCACGCGCAACGCACGCCAGGTAGTCACTCACCAAAGCTTCATGCCTTCCAAACTGCCGCCTCTGCACAAAACAACACGAACCTTAACAGCTGTTTATAGGCACACTCAACATGTGGTTTCTACGGGTACTATTCTTCACGAAACGACACGACCATTGGTCATTCCGTCAAGACAAATCGCCCATGTCAGTCAGTAAATAGCCGTTCTGCCTCTTGCTTTTGCAGAGAGTCTGAGGCGTATTGAGCGACCAAGCTCGCCGCGCTCGTGACTTGCAGCCCAACGTTGAACGGCAGCGAAGGTTGGCTCATCAAGTGCTTGCAATCCGCAAGGATAGCCGCCGACAGAGACTCTTGCCTCTTGGGGCTAGGATCTGATGCACATGCTGATACGAGCTCTCGTAGTTCAACAAGAATTCGGACTATGCGCTCAAAATCGGCATTTTCTCCTAGACAGGCAAATTTGAAGCCTGCCCCTCTCTCGTGGCCGAAGTCTCTGTCGCTTATTTGCCACAGATCGCTTGTTTCGAGGCCCAAAGGCTCTCCCTTACTCATCTGGTGGTCTTCTAGAAGAAGGGTGTCGATGACGCGGTCGAATTCGGTTTTGCCGCGGTGCAGAAATGGTATCTCCATCCAAGTCTGAGACCCGAGGAATGACATCTTGCGAGCAGACAGTGCCACATACGACTACAGAGAAATAAGCCTCAGTTTGATGATTTGGCAGATTGTGTAATCCTTTTGACTTACCATAAAAAAGCGCAACTGCCAGAATATCTCAAAAAACGGTGATTCTTGACAGCCCTCAGGTCCAACTTGTTCCAGGAGGCCTAGAGCGCCATAAGCATGGGGAACCCAGGAATCGGCCGCAAGTGGTGCCATCATCTCAAATTCTAGAAGTGCCATTGACATGAGAAGAAGATTTAGAATGGAATCTAGGCGCTGATGCCTCTGCCATGGAACAAGCTGATGAAGCTGAGCTTTGTGGCGCTCCAAGCCGCTTGAATAGTATTGATACGCCGCCGCTTTCAGCGATACATCGTTCTCGGCAACAGCTCTAAAGGCGAGCTTCATTGCTTGGAACGGTATTAGCATCCGTGATTGAAAGTCCGCCGATAGCGCAAGCCGAGGAATCGACAAAAACCATGGATGCGGCGTCCACGGGGATAAATGGTACGACCCAATTTCGACGGCAAGGCGAGATACCACTTCATGTGCACCACTGATGATGCCAGTCGGGATCCTACACATACTTGTTTGCTGAATATTAGACCCATCAGCGCGTGCTCCTTTGAAGCGATGGCGAGGTCCTTGCATGATCACCCCTTACCTGGCGTGCGAGTTGCTGCTGCTGCAGTGGTTGGGAATCTTGATAAACGTTAACAAAGACGCGCGGATGCCCCATAACATCGACAATTTACTTGCCTTGTACACTGTAGATAAAAATTAGGCCTTCAGTAGACCCGGGACACTTCTTCTTCAGCCGTGTGCACTGAGTGCAGTGTGGTAGTTTGTTGTCACACTACGGAGTAGACCCCGGTGAGTTTATGATAACCGTTTCTCTCTTTCTTTCCTTCTCAATGATGCATGTTCTACTTACTTTTATTTTTCTTCTTCTGCATGTCTGGCACGCATGGACTCTCTGAGAATTCAGTCTCATTTTCTTGGGCGGCAATCAGGCTTCCTCCTATTCGAAGGTGCGAGTGCGAAATGTATATACATGTAGGTGAGAAGAGTACAAGGTATGTAGCGATCCACAGCCAAACACCTCAAGTCGAACGAGAGTGGATGAGTAAGCGGCCCAATTCAGTATCACACGAGCAAAGCGAGCAAATACTCCATGTAGGTATGTAAGCTTGCTCGCCTTTCGCACCGGCATAAACACTATTGAACTCCGTATATTCGAATTCTAACTCCTCATCATTACAAGACCCAGGGTGGATTATTCAGCAAATAATAAGAAAGATAATTATAGTAGTACGGGTACTTTACCCAGGCAATATTTCCTCTCACTGAACACACCATGCATGTATTAGATGCATGTACATGTGCGCTATTGTTGTCATCTTCACACTTTAGTCTATACCTATCCTTTATTCAACATTTCCCAGACAGTTTCTACTCCAGCCCAGCAGCAAGAGAAGAGCTGAAAACCATGGTTTGCATAGGCGGCTAAGCATCGTTAACACAGTCGTGGCCTCGAGATTTCTTTGCCCTTGCCTTTCTTTGCCTCTCAATGATTTAAATCGCTCCTGGCTCGGATCTTCTCCCCCTGGAAATACACCCATAGGGGCAGCGGGATGCCTATTACGATGCTCAATCCGCCAAGGAAAGAATATGTTCCCCCCAGTCCCATCGCATCAATCATTTGTGGGGCGAATAGGGGGATGGCGAATGCAAGCAGCGAGCGAGCGAGCGAGGACGCTGCCAGTGCGGCAGCCGAGTATTTGAATGCATCAATGAAGTAGAGCTGCAGCGGCAACAAGATGGACATCATGCCGAATCCGAAAATGGACGATCCAATGATGGGGAGCATCCAGTGCTGATGAGTCTGGGCCGTCCATCCGAACCAGAAGAGCCCGATGGGGACGGCAACAGAACCGAGAAGCATTCCAGGCATTCGAAATTCAGGCTTGGGGGTGCCGCCATTCTTCTTGGTCAGCTATCGACCGGAATTTTCTTGTCAGTTCATTTACGAAGAGGCGTGTGGGGGGGAGTTCTAGCACTCACATTGTGGTAGACAGTATTTCCAACCCATCCACCCAAAGCCGTAGCAAACAGCTCTCCGAGTCCGCCTCCGATGTACGTCAGACCGGTTGGTCCAGGCTTAAATCCATATATCTCGCCAAATATCGTTGGAAAGGTCGTGAAAAACATGTTGAGAAATCCGTAGACACTGCCGGTGGTTTTGGTCAGTGGGCATTGTCGAGAGCTCCTGAGATAAAGGTACTAACAGGGCTCCGTAGAAACTCAGAATGAGGCAAATAGGACTTCTTGTAAGAAGGACCAAAGGCCGTATGGCTGCTTCTCTAGCTGACCCCGTCAAGGGGGCGGGAGGCTGTGTCCGCTCATCGTCAACTGATGTCTCTGCCTTTTTGTTGAAGAGCCCCATCAACCCTCCACGTCGCGAGCCAGAGCTTGATCGGATGATTGTATGATCGGTCTCGGGAAGAAACACCATGCTAAGGACTAGAGCTGTGACACCGAGAGCGGCTGTTAGAACGAAGCCATACCGGACTCCAACAGTCTGTGTCAGATATCCTCCCATGATAGGCCCAGTCGGGGGCCCTATCAGTAAACCCAAGCCATATATAGCGCTGGCTGGAGCCCGCTCCTCCAAGATGAAAAGATCGGCTATGACAGCTCCCGCGATGGATATCGGCGTCGACGCTCCGATTCCAGCCAAAAATCGGAAAGCAATCAGTTCTCCGGCTGACACGGCAAAGATACACGCAATACTAAACGCGGTGAATATGACGCTCGATATGTTAATCACCCACCGCCGGCCATATATCTCAGACAACGGGGCAAAGGCGAGGGGACCAAGTGCCCAGGCCAGGATATATATCGTCAGAGTCAAGGCCAGAACGGTATCGGATTTGATATTGTACTTTTCCGCTAGCTCTGGTAAACCGGGAGCCATGATGGAACTTGCGAGAGGGCTGCAGGAGTAAGAGAAAGAATTTCGGTGTTTTGTCATTCGATGGTGAGGACTTACGAGATGAATGCTTGAAAGGAGACTAAGCCAATTGTCTGATACTTCTTGGACTGAGACCAGTTTAAAGGATTATCTTTTGATTCTATCCATATTTGATCAGGATCCCTGATCTCCGAGGTCAAAGTTGACGGAGTCGTGTCAGCAGATTTCTCCATGTCTGTGGTCTCCATGATGGCGATTAGCTGCTGCTTCTTAAGGTGACTCCCTTATGGATGCCATTGTTGAGAGCCCGTTTCTAGTATTTATAACCATCTTGGAAATAGATGATGGAGAATTTTGTAAATCGAGTCAAGAGAGACGTTGTCAAATTCTCGGTACTCTAACTTGATATAGCACAGAAGAATGGGCCAAAGGAGGAAGTGATTACTTGTATATATCAATCAAGGGCCAAAGATATCAGACGGGCAGCAGCTCGGGAGTCTAGCCTCTTCAGGTTAGTGTCGCCATGGATCAAGATATCTCAACCTGCAGAAAGGGTTGAGTATCTACCGAAAACCCCCATTTGATCGATAATTTACGTTTTGTGTGTGTGTGTGATGAATGGGAAATTCACCCCAAGGTGCTTCATTGATAGATATTTCAATATCAACCGTCTTGAAATGTCGCAGGGCCACATCTTAGCCTTGGACTGTCATATGGCTGCTCTGCTATAGGGTAAGTGGTTCGACTTCAAAGTCCATTCAATAAAACTGAACCAACCAGCGATATGTATGGGGAAATGGGTATACAAAATGACATTTGCTGATGTGAGTGAAATCGAGAGACAGGGAGAGAGAGAAGGTTCATTGGGGGTGGGAGCAGGTGAAGTGAGACATGGAGATATTCGGATGTGTGTGTGTAGCTGTAGCATCACATGTGGGCTTTTTTTGAGGCTCTCCATATGTTATCGGTGACATGCTATCTAAACTATATTCCACGGAGTCTCCGAATATGTAGCTCCACGAAACTAATAACACTTGGGCGCACAACCACTAATATGTCTATTCCATAGATGGCGATTCCAGCTCATTTCGAAGTTCATGAACACAAGAGCCCTGTTCCACGGGGTATGAAGGGATCGGCATGAACGATCATGACGTCGATGACGCTACGGTCCTCAGAACAAGGTATGTGTACTCGCTAGTGTCTCTTGATCAAGGAGCTGACTTGATGTTTGGAGAGAAGACATCAAGTATGGCGACAAGTGCCCACCAAGCTGGAATTCACATGTAATAGTACTGGACATGTGCTGAACAAGTAAGCAGAAGACGTTTCACTGGTGGCCAGTCTCTTGAGAGCTCGTGCGCACATAAGTTGCTAGAGTAACCTGAAGCTGCCCCTAGGAGTTTTACTATAATATTATCCGTGTGTCGGCAGATGCATCCTTTTGCAGCAGGCAATGTGACATGGGGGCGACGGCGACAGGGCATGGATTCCCTCAAGTACGGTACAGCCTAAAGAAGAAGCTTCAATGTTTCTCTTTCTTCTTCTTCCTTCTTGTCCCGGGCTTTTCCTGTGCGCGGGCAACGCAGGAAGAAACGGGTTCTACCAGCTCTTCTAGAATACAGGGCTCGCCTGGCTGTAGAAATGAGAGCCCGCCTTTCTGGAGACAGGATTCAGGGATGGCGGCGACAATGTTTCTGAGCGAGAGGGGCTGAGCGTTTGTGCACTGCGCCAAGATATTACCAGTATTTATGCGCTGGCCCGGCAAGTTTCGGCCGGCATGGCTTAATATAATGGAAGAGGCAGTGCTGACAGGGCCACCTTTTTTCTCTTACTTCCATGTTTTTATTTAGGTGGCCGGAATGATTACGGAAGCTAAACGCCAGTGGATGGGCGAATGCGATCGTATTCGATTGATCCTTTACCACGCTTGGTGCCAAGCAGAGACGCTCAGGGGTGGAGGAGTTTTAGGGAGTATCAAATTTGGTCCACGGTGTCAGTGTGCGGAGTACATGTGTGTGCGTGACAGATACCGCGCAAGGACAAGTACCTACCTGCATCTCGGCTGGAATGGAAGCCTGCCAACCCGCATAGCCTTGATGGACAGCAAAGTTGTGCGTATCCATGGACATGGACATGGACATATGATCGCCCAGAGACGGAGGAGCGGCTCTTAAGTCCATGTGATTGATGTGATCTCCGGAGTTCAGGTCGGCCTCAGCTTCAGGCCTTCCACTGGTCGAGGTATTTTTTCTTTTCTTTTCTTTTTTTCTCTCATGCCAGATATGGGCAGATTGGATGCCGTGATTGTTAGTCAGCCGGTTTCACCCATGCGGAATACGATGGATTTGTTTGCGTGCCCCCTGCTTGATGGTGGAACGGGCTGATGCCATTAGGCCAGAGCGCCAGAAGCCTCCTGTAAATCATTTCTGCGAGTCAACATGCGGTACAGTCCAGTCCAGTACTTGGCACATGAGCCAGTAGAGACTCCATTCTATCTTACACGTCGCCGGTCTGGCTACAGGTACTGCGTACATGTCTGTACATGCACATGCGAGTCTGCCGTGGCACGCACAATGGGGGACCACGATGGAGGAGCAGCGCACAAGCTTGGCCAGCGCACAAGCACTGCCTCGGATCAGCAGCGAACTCAGCTGGGCCAGGTCGGGTCCTACATCCGTCCAGGTATCTAGTACAGCAGCAGTGTCATTCCCTCAATGATGCATTGGATGGATATAGATGTCAACTATCAATCATCAACATCAAATGTCGATACTGGACCGAGTCAACCAGCTCCCAGCTCCCAGCGCTGAGCGAGCGGCCGCCCACTGGAGCCTCTACTGTACTGTACCCATCCTGGACCTAGTACATGTCCACTACAGTACCTGTAGCTTTGCGCTGCAGGGCTCCAGCGTGCCGTGCAGTCTCCAGGTTTTCAAGTTCCCATCCACTAACTGCAGTCGAGATCCATTTTTTCTCGCCCATTTCCGCTGCCAACCCCCTTGGCCCATTAGCGCAGCCCGGAGTAAACGACAAACCCGCCACTGCCCAAGACCAGCCTCATTTCATTTTTCCACGTTGGACCCCGACAGCCCGCTGCCAGATGTCCCTGGTAGGGCCAAAAGGCAAGGTAAGCCTGTGTTGTCTTGTTCGTGTTTGCTGGACGCTCGCTGTTCCCTTTTGCCCTCTCCATTTGCACCCGCCAGAACAGAGTTGACGTCAAATCCATCATCATCAAGACATCGATACTGCACCTAGGCAAACAAAAACAGCACCGGACTGCACTGCGGCCCCCCCCAAAAGTGCCCTGAACTACTCCCTCCCCTGCCTCGTAGGCGCCGTCCCTCGCTGCAGCCCCCGGGCCATTCGTCATCCCCCAGCACTGCGCCAGTGGGTCGGCGCGCCAGTCTTTGCTCGCTGCTGCGTTAGTTCTGCTGTCTCTGCCCAATCTCCTGCACCATCCAATCCGCGAGAATCAAGCCGGTGCAACGACCTCTTTGGCCGCTGCCGCAATTCCCCATCATCACCATTCACCCATCGATCCAGGAAGCATCGCTCAATTGGTAGCATTTAGCACCCGCCTGCCGCTCGCGTCCGCCGTCGCAGCGAAATGCCCTCGTTCCTGACCCAAGACAACCCGACAGTCTTTTCCAACGGCTCCGTAATCAAGCTCGACGAACACTTCGGTGCAAAGGACCAGGCGAATGAGGCTTCCATAACCGACGCCCGGTCCTACGCCGTCCATGAGCGCTTCGACGAGAGCTCGACACTGTCCACCCGCGACTCGGACGTTTCGGACTCGCCCGTGCCCTTGAGCGAACTCGACCGGTGGCGAGACGACGCCAGCGGCAACGAGACACGCCCTACCAGCATGAGCTCTCTCTCCAACGGCAAGAGTCTGCCTGGCGGTTATGGCGTGCAAGGCTTTGGGCAAGATTTGGACGTGCAAGACGTTGACCGCGCCCTGTCCAATGGCGCTGCCTTTTCTCTCCCTCATCGCCCCGTGCCACAGACCGGCAATGGCAATGGGGTCGAATTCTCGCATGCAGCTGCAGATGCGGCCCGCAAGTCAGCGAGCAATCAGAATCACAGAGCATCAACAAGGAGCGTCCAGGACGATGTCTCTGCTACCCTGACCCGACCAACTCCGCCCCCCACAGACGTCGAGTCGCACAGCCCGCTTCAGCCTTGGACCCCGTCTCTGACGCCTGCGTCGCCCATGGCGTCCGACCTCGCCCTGCCGCAAAACTTCAACGGCAGCATCAATCCTCAACGCTTCTCATCTCCCGCATCCTACCAGCCCGGCGGCTCCAACTCGGCGCCCTCATTGTCTGCACACTTGCAACCCCCAGGCTCCGCCATGGGCCCCAAACAGAGACACACGCTCGAGGTGCCCAAACCACCTTCGGGCAGAACCTCGAGGGAACTCGACACCGCTCAGGCCAGCGGACGCTTCTCGCCTACAGTCGCCAGCCCTACTGGCCGCGCCGCTTCCTTCAGCCTGGCCCGGCGGACGACAAGATCCATGCAGTCGGATGCCCCCAGGGATGAGATTGCTCCCGACGAAGACGCCATGCGATGGGCCGAAGTATATCGACAAAAGCGGGCCAGCAAGCGGAGGCGGAAGGAGGAGGAGGACGATGACCGTGTCTTGGTTGGCACCAAGGTGGACGAGAGCCATGCCAACTGGGTGACGGCCTACAACATGCTAACGGGCATCCGTGTGTCCGTTTCGAGGACGAACGCAAAGTTGGACCGCGAATTGACTGACGCAGACTTTAATGTTAAGCAAAAGTCTACGTTTGACATGTACGTAACGTAACCTTGTCTCCCTTCACCTCTTCATGTTTTGCCCAACGGACTACTTCGTCTCGTGTGGTGCTATCAAATGCTAACATTACCCCCCTTCATTAGCACCGGCAACGAACTCGTTCCCTCAGCCAAGTACGATTTCAAGTTTAAAGACTACGCCCCCTGGGTCTTCCGTCACCTGCGAAATGCCTTCCGTCTGGACCCGGCCGACTATCTCATGTCCCTGACGGGCAAATATATACTCTCGGAGCTGGGCTCTCCCGGCAAGAGCGGCAGCTTTTTTTACTTTTCTAGAGATTACAAGTACATCATCAAGACCATTCACCACGCTGAGCATAAATTTCTGCGCAAGATTCTCAAAGAATATTACGAGCACGTCACCCAAAACCCGAATACATTGCTATCTCAGTTCTACGGCCTCCACCGAGTCAAGATGCCCTACGGAAAGAAGATTCATTTCGTCGTCATGAACAATTTGTTCCCCCCACACCGAGACGTCCACACAACATTTGATCTCAAGGGTTCGACTATTGGCCGAGATTACAGGGAGGAGGACTTGGAGAAGAACCCTCGCGCGACCCTCAAGGATTTGAACTGGCTCCGACGAAAGCAAAACCTTGAGCTGGGTATTCAGAAGAAGAAACTGTTCCTGGAGCAGCTGCAGCGGGATGTGGCCCTCCTCAAGCGTCTCCATATCATGGACTATTCTTTGTTGGTTGGCATCCATGATCTTTCCCGTGGAAACGAAGAAAACCTGCGTGGAAAGACTCTTCAAGTGTTCAACCCTGGCGGCGAGAAGAGCACCGACGACGATCTCCAGGCCTCTCTTCTCCGAACGCCATCGAAGCTGGAGAATTACCGCAAGGCAAAGGAACTGCGGCAGATGGTCCAGAAAGAACGCCCAGTGCCCATGGGCCAGGCCAACGACCAGATGCCCGAGGAGGTGGGCGAAGATCGTCGTGGGCTCCTTTTCAACCAAGACGACGGCGGCTTCAGAGCAACTCACGAGGACAACGAACCAGCAGAAGAGATTTACTACCTCGGCGTCATTGATTGTCTGACTCACGTAAGTCGCAGGAGGAGAACGTGTTGCTAATAGTTATTTATTGAATCTCAGCTAACCACTTCAATAGTACGGAATGATCAAAAAGATCGAACATTTCTGGAAAGGTCTCTCGAATGACAAGAGCAAAATATCAGCTTTACCGCCGGACCAATACGGAGATCGATTCTACCATTTCATCCAAGGCATCACCATGTCTGCCGAGGAGGCGAAACGAGAACGTGCGCGCAGAGACCAGGAAATGCTTCTTCAGGCACAGAAGCAAGAAAGGTCGAGGCAGAGCACCATTCCCCCAATGCCGATGCACCAACCCCCACCGCCCCCAATCGGATTGCAGTCTAATGGGCGAACACCTGAGGCTCAGATACCCGAGCGAACACTCAAGACCGCCACCATGCCAGGCGCCCGGGACTCACAACACGAGGCTGTTCTGCCCGTGGTAGAAGAAGCTGGAGAGAGTAGCCGAGACGATACAGAACGATGGATTCAGGGCACATCTTGGAGCAACATGGCCGAGCCTAGCCGCGCGCCGCCGCCGACCCCTCCTCCTCACGACCAAAACTATCTCAAACCCGATAGCTCTGACAGTGGCTACGGCGACAATAGCAACGGCACTGTGAGCAGGGACAATTCCCTCAAGGTGGCTCGACCGACGAGCCGAGGGAGTCTAAACAAGCATCTACCACCGCTCCCCAAGAAGGAGAACTCGCAACAACAAGGTGGAATTAGAATGGTTATGTAGACGGACTACAGCTATTGGACCTCAACTCCATCGCTGATGGATTGGAAATTGATTGGTATTACGACAAAGCACGGCATGGCGCATAAAATCAGCGATGTTCACTATAAACAAAGGGTCCAGACTTTAACCCATATTTTTTTTTTCTCTGATGATTCCGCATGAAGGACAAGGAAACGGGTCGGGCGGAATTGCTGGGCTCTACGATTTTTAACACTGTTTTGCAACATAATCAGCATCTCGCGTTTCTCTTTTTTCTCTGTTCATTGCTTTATCTTTTTCTTATCCCCCCCTTTTATCCCCCCCATCCCTGCTTGACGGCCAGTGTGTTTTTCTTCTTCTCCCCTTCTGATTTTTTCCTGTTGGCCAAGCTCTTTCCTGTCCTTTTGATTGGGTTCATATCTTTTTTTTTCTCCCTTTTGTCCTCAGAGGAAACGGTATCTTTACTCTCAACGTGTCTTTTGTCTCCTTTTTCTTTTCCTTTTCGTTTTGGTCTTTTTCCTATGTGTCACATGGGAGTGGAGAGAAACAGCGGCGGAACGGAGTGCAGATTGTTTGCTGTAGGTTGAACAAAAAAAGAGAAAGAAGGGAACTTTGTTCGTGTGGGTTGTGGTGCAAAGTGTGCTAATATTGGCTTTATTACAAGACGTGGATGATACCATTGACCGCATTCGACATACATACAGACAGTTGATTTTTTTTTTAAGTAGATTCGGTTGTTTATTTACCTGCATCTTCATGCTCTCAAGTCTTTTGCTTTGTGGGTTTTCAACTGGTGAATGTTTCGTGCTGTGTTGTATTACATGTATTGTGGTGTGTGTTGTGATATGTGCCTGGAGAGAGAATACCAGCTAACAAACATTCTTTTTGAACCAATCATTTGCTTTCGTTACCTTGATAGGAACAATTTTGGCCAACAGCTTTCAACGCATAGCATGGGCGGATGGTTTAGTGGTATAATTTTCCCTTAGCATCGTGTAACCTACTGGTTGCTCAACCGCCTGGGAAAGGTCCGGGGTTCGATTCCCCGTTCGTCCAGCGTTTATTTTTTTCGATTTTTTGTTTAATATCTATCTCCCTCCTTTGAAGGAATCTTTTTTTTGTTGTTTATTTCCTTTGTAACTCCGGTGACTCTTGTTTTTTTGCATTTGGCGTGCGCGGAATGGATGGCGGTTGCTGGATGTTTGAAGCCAACTACTCCTACTATCATGGTATCAACCTAGGTATAAATATAAAAAAGATGAGAATCAAACTTGAAAGATAGAAGCATTGGTGAATAGGTAGAACCATCACACTTTTTGACTTGTATAGTTTATGAGATGCAATAGTTGAGTGTGATAAGTTCCTTTACAAGGAATTATATATTAAATAGCATCCAACTTCATTATATCCCCCCTCATTCACACCGAATACATCATATTCTCAGTCTCTTTCACGCTTCATTGGGTATTCATACTCTTTTCCATGTCACTTTCATTCCTTCTCCAAATTCCTTCATTCAGCTAATTATCCCAGGTAACCTTCATCGACAGAGGGAAGGGCGTAAGAGTGCCCCAGTCCTCAGTCAGATACTCGCAGTGGCCGCCCTGTCTCGGGACCTTCTTCAGCTCTCCCTGCGGCCCGGCAACCTTCTTCAGGCCCTGCCTCTTGAAAATCGCACGGAAAAGCTCCACCAATGCGATCTGGCTGACTTCCTTGTCCAGAGCTCTGTGCGTGCCGGCGCCGAACTGGATATAAGAGTCAAGAGGACGGCGCGGATCAATGGTTTCTGGGTTGGGGAACTGATTAGGGTCTCGGGCACCGGAGACGAAGGACGCGAAGACCTTGTCGCCTTGGTTGACGTTGATTTTGCGGCCGTCATCCTCGGTGATGGTGTCGGGGCCAGTGGAAACTTGGTGCAAGCCAAAGGCACCAGCCATACGGACGCCTTCCATGGCGAAACCGAGGAGAAGAGCGTCGGTTTCGGGGCTAGGCTCTTGAGAAGCGAGGGTGTGGATGTCGTCGACGTAGGCAGCGCCTTCGGAAGAAAGGTACCAGTCGAGAGCTTGGGCGAACTAAATGGAGTTATGTTAGCTTTTGGCGTAACAAAGAAGGAATTTTTTTTTTCAGTATGGAAACATTTGAATACGTACCAGTCGGCCTTGGGTTGGAACAATCGCAGCGGCTGTGGGCAGGATCAAGCCCCAGGCGATATCGTGAGCACTCATGCCGGACTTGGCCAGAGCCTTGACGGCATTAACACCGGCGGTGGAAAGAGGATCGTTGCTGGTGTTGCCGGTAAAGAGGCGAAGGCCAAGAGATTTGGTATACTTGACAGTTGTCTCGATAGACGCTCCAAGAGCATCGGCAGCTTCCTTGGTCTTCTGTCTCAGAGAGAAGGACTTGGCGGGATCAATGTCCAGGAAGATAGTAGTGTAGATAGCAGCCAACGCGGCATACAGCTCATGCTCAGAGAAGACGCCCTTGGGATTCTCCTGCGTCTTGAGGGGGATGTTGAAGATCTGGGCGGCGTAGTGGGTGTGAGCCGTGTTTCCGAAATCACGAACAATATCGACATGCTTCTTGCCCATAATGGTGTACGACTTTTCTGCCAACAGCTTCTCGGCCGTCTTTGCGTAAAAGGCCTTGACGGCACTCCTCCAACCGTCCTTGTAGAGCACGGATTCGAGCGTCTTGCGGTCGCTGGCCTGCATGTAGCGGCCTGTGTGGCCGGAAAGAATCTCGAGGCCTTCTTGCCACTGCACGCGGTACTTGTCCTCGTTTGCAATCACCTGCTTGAAGCCGCCAAAGGTGGTGATGTCGACGCGAGGAGCAGAGGCTCTCGGGCGCTCGAAGCTGAAGCGGTGGACGCGGTTCAAGCTGGTCAGGATCTTGCGGTTCTCCTGGGGGATGACCATGGGGTAATGGGCATAGACGGAGTCTTGCTTGAAGTGGTTGGGGAATGCTCGGATGAAGAGCTTGTAGAAGACACAGCCGTGGTTGACTTTAAGATCATACTCAACCTCCTTGTAGCCCCAGTTTGTGAGGTACAGAGGGTTATAATCCGTAGTGTAATGTCTATCACCACGGACAAGGGAGACGGCGTCAGACAAGACGACACGGGAAATAGTGTAAGTCGGCGCAATACCAACACCAGGGACCATGGGCGACTTGGCCTCTTCGGCGACGATGCCTGGGTAGAGCTCGACATAGTCAGGATGCTGGTAAAGATTGCGCAGAGCATCTGCAACCTGGGGATCCGAGTTGATGTCCTCAAAGGTCTCGTAGGCTTTGAGGCCAAAGTGTTTTCGGAACTCGTTCAAGCCCACCAGGTGCCACTTTCGGCCACGAATGATGCCGAGCATTTCCACGGGCTTCATGATGCGAGGGACGTTGCGGGCACCAAATGAACCACCAGGCTGTTCAATGGCCGTGGCAATACAGTTGACGAGATCGTCGTCGTCAAAGCGACCATCAGGACCGCGTGTGAAGCCGCCGAAGACGCAGTCAGCAGGATCCTTGGGCATGCCCATGGCAAACTTGCGGATAGCAATCATCAGCGTGCGCATATCCATGGTGCCGTAGTTTTCTCCCAAAAGGTCGTCGTAGAAGGCATGAATCCATTCGTCATCCATCTCGGAGATGCAGGAGTGCCAGCGGTAGCAGAGGTTGAATTCCGCAGAGACGCAGTTGCCAACTCCTCGATCAGAGCCCTTTTTGGTGCCGACATCGACACCGGCTTCTTGTCGAGGATCCAGTGTCCACTCGGTATCAACTCTGTTCAGGTTGATAATGTTTCGCACGTAGTCAACAAGAGTGATGTTAATGTACAGACCAGAAGTCACCAAGCGAGCCGTCTGGAACAACTCCTCGTCGTATTTCTTCCAAGCCGCAGTCGCAGCATCTCCCTGTAGAGTTGGAGAAGGCTTGGCGAACCTGTTGCCCTCATTGATGGCGGCCATATTTGCGGCAACGTAGTTATGAACGCGGTTGAACATGACAAGGATGGTGCAGACACCTGGGGGCATGCCCAAGAGTCTCTTATCAGCAAAGGTATCGGGCTTCAACATGCCATCCTTGAATGTGCGGACGGAGTCCTGGGCCTCTTGGCTATGACCATAGAGGGGGGCTAGGTCGAGATATGATGATGAATCGTTAATGTTGGGATCCCTTTCGTTGGTCCAGAACAAATCTAGAGCCAAGTTAGTTATGTTTCCTGAACGAGATTGTCCTATCATAATTACCATGGATGATAATGGTTGCCCAATACCACAGGATGCTTGAGACGTTGTTGGGATTCCTGATGAACTTGTCTCTGGCCATGATGGACTCGAAGACAGCTTCGGGATCAGGCAAAGCTCCCAGTGGTACCACTCCAGGATGGCATGAGCGCGCATAGGGAGTACCGGCTGCACCAAGCTTGGGCATGAGAGGGTTCTGGGCAATCTTCATGAGTCTCTAGTCGTAAACGTGGGTATTCGAAGCGTTTAAAACTTACGTTGTTAGATCCATCAGCCTGGCGGAAGCGGAATTGGTCTCCCATGTACAACAATGGGGGATGATCAAGCGAGTACCATAGCTCGTCAATGAACATATTAGTGAGCATTTCTTGTCTCTTAGAGCCGCTAGGCATCGCAGCGACCAATTGAATAGTCTTCTCCATTATCATTGTTTTGTCGTCGGCTTGAGTCTCGCCCTTGAGCTTCGCAGTGATAATCGCCTTGAGCGTCTTGAGATCTAGGAGAGAATGCGTCAGCATATCATGTTTCCTTAGAACAACGGCGTAGGTATTTACCTTGAAAGGTGATTGTGCTTAGATCCTGCATCAGAGTCGGCCTGTTCCTAACCACTTGGTAGGTACCATCTCCAGTCTTGTTAGGGAGAGGTCGGCGAGAAGCACGGTATAGCTGCATCAAGCTGCCATATTTGACAGGCTTGGTCGTCTTTGCCTTTGCAACAGGACCGCCGGGGTACTCGACAGCGGCATGATTGCCATTGGGGGTATTTCTGCTGGAACTCATGGTGGACAGAATTTTGCTACTGGCCGGGTATCATGGAAGAGAATTCAAGAGCAGCAGAATACATGCAATGCCAAAAAGAAGCAATGGACAAGCTCATGCAGCTGGGGCGTCTCGGTGTCTTATCTACCATTGGGGGACAAGCTACTGCTCATGCAGCCGCCGTATTCTCCCCTTTTCAAAGACATGACGAGGCCACTACCAACATTAGCCCAGCAAGCTTTATGGGGTATGGACATGTTCAATCGGCCAGTTAGAAACATCCGGACGTGTGAGGGTTCGGGCCGCGGGCTGCGGCTGAACCAAAAATCTTAGCGACGGCATGCTGAGATCGACCCTGGGAACTAAGCTATTGCCACATTGGAGACGAGAAAGACGAATAGCAAGTAATGCGGTAGCTGGCAGCCCACATGGTGTGTTATCGGCACCTCTGCAAAAGCCGTGTCTGCTTGCTCGGAGCCGCGATGTCTCTAGCTCCATCCCAGGGGACCAGAAAGGCTGATGCTAGTATGGGATGTAGTATTTCCATATGAACACCCTAGCCGCCCTTATTGGAGGGCCTGTATATCAGGGTAAGACATACATGCGGGGAGGACCAGGGATGATGACCGAATAGATTTCCTCGAGCCATCATAGGAGGCGGAATCTCGTAAGAAGAGCTATCCCCCTCCTTGATGTTGTATTACACCCGCCAACGGGAAGTGCCCTTGGCAAGCAACCGGACTTTGTAGCGTCCTGCAACACAGTTTGATCAAGCAGAATCCTCAAGACAACCCCCCCTCTCCCTCCCTCCCTCATCCTCTTCCTCTTCCTCTGTCTCTGCGGGTCAGACTTCCCGGCTCACGATATTTGAGATTGGGAGTGCTCCATAAGACTGGGCGAGTCGTGGTGAATCAACCTTTTGGCTCCCACCCCTTCGACCCACCCCATCTCATTATGGATAATCAGATTGCGCCGTCGACTTTTTGGGTACCATTGGTGTAAGTGTTAGTCGGCCGTCACCTGAAAATGCCGATTCCCGCTAGAACTAGTCCTGCGGGTACTACTCCGTACCCTTGGAGGATCGGGCTTCATGTGGTTAACCTGCTCAGGTCGACGTCAGACCCTTGAAGTATCGCCATAGCAGCTTCAAAGTTGGAGGCTGGGTAGGCCAAAAGACGCCAAAAGACGCCAAGGGACACGTGTCTGTGACTAGAGAGCTGGCGGTAGCACGTCGTACGATTTCAAACGGGAAGACCTTGGATGTGCTTCAAAGAGCTGCTTCACTTTTGCCCACAGCCAGAGACAAGCTGAGCGTCTCTCCCTCCCTGCTGAAAGCTGTTCGCACGCTAATTGCGCAAGCTTCATGCGCTGCAACAGACATGCAGATGGCCTCAGCGCAAATCGGCCAATCCTACCCATCAGTCCTGGAGATAGCGGGCGGACGAGTTTTCACCGTGCCGTCTCTTTCGTCCAGGCCCCGGTCTTGCTGGATGTCTGTCTAAGACATGCATATATAGGCGCCAGACTTTGCGAGCAGATCATTGCTCAGAATGAAATGCTGGCGTCCGGATTGGTCCTCGTCCCGGATCCACACTGCTCATGGAGAAATGAGAGGCGTGCTCGATGCCAGCTGAAACCTGCGATGCTACGCCTATTACGTCGTGATTCCTGGCTGGGTGATTTTTGCCTATCGCCGCTCTTCCTCCCTTTGCCCTTGTGATTATTGCGCATGCATTCGCACATGTTGTTATCGTTTTTGCACAAGTCGACGCAATGCACTGGCATACTCGTATTCACAGAATCGTCGTGTATTCTGTGCTGAAACTTGTGCGTACGCGCCCGAAAGGGGTCATGCAACCCGTACCCTGCATGAATGTATGCGGAGAGACCAATAGCTGAGACCAGCTCACCGGAGTCGTACTCGTACATCCATGGCTAAGGAGAACATGTACGAGTAATTAAGACAAGAGAAAGAGAGAGAAAAGGGAGGGGCTAAATCGATGATCTGGATCTAGTGGACCGAGGCTCGGAGATCCTAATGGGATCAGATGAATCCCATTACTAGTACATGCATGAATGAATTTGGAGAGATCATTATCTGGGCGCCTCCTCGATGCATAAACTCATCAGCAGCTTGCAATATCATCTATTGAATATTCCACAAGAGGCGGACCAGGGGGCGGGTCATCTTAGATAGGGCTCGATTCATTTGCTTCTTTGGGCTGCAGGCTGACCCAAACTTGCTCCACCGTCACCGTATAGCCTGGTTGCTCTCATTCCACACGGTTGCTTTGATACTAGTACTATTACTTTGTAATGCCCCTTGACGATTCGGGTTCTGATGATGCTTCATTTCATATCTTCGTTAGTACTCGTAGGATGCTATGCGTTCTTGCACACAGCCTAACATCAAGCTCAAATAATAATACAAAGTAGTTTTGAACTGTACCCATCTCAGCGGGTGGTAGCAGCCATCCTTGTCCGTGCACCATGCATCTCAATCTCTCTTCAGAGTCTTAGCGCCCTGCATTTCCATGTCCCTGTAATGGTTCTCATGTTGCGCATGTAGTTAACTGTACAAGCACATCGGCATGGCTGCAATGTCTCTGTGCGTAGCCTTGGAACACTGGTTGCATGGGTAATTGCATACCGATGCGCCGCATGCGCTGTGTCGACCAAGGATTGTTCAGTATGAACATCGGCTTGCCTGTTGCCTGTAAACTTGCCCATGTCCTACTCAATCTCGTTAAAATGTGCAGTTCGTCTTGGAACTTGGCTCGATTTGGTAGAAGCTCCTACATTGATCGCCTTGCTTCTTTGGCGATCAGTTTATCATAATTAGACTTGAGCCACGCATTTGTAGTCCGCATCGATACCATGTTCTTTGTAATGGTCGTCATTAAATCGTATTTCTTTGAAATCCTCAAATATTTGGATATGACGAAGGCTTCCAGACGAAGAAAATGCCAAGCAAAGAAGAAAAAAGGTCAGAGATTTCTCGCGCGAAAAAAAGGAAGAAAATTGCTTCAACATGACCGTATTATGAGTGATATCACGCTTCGCGATGCTGCTTTAATAATCAAGTATTGAGATCCAGAGCGTGCGAGCTGTTTTTTCATGTCATCCGTAGATCGACTACTTCCAAGGGCATCTTGTCACTCTCGTACACGTGCCCGTTAGGATGATAGGCCTCTCGGTAGAGGTTGTCAATGGAATGCTGATGAAATGTCTCTGTGCGATTACAGTTTAGAACGTGATCTAATCCGGGAGGATGCGTGAGTCGAAAGATGCCGTGCCTAGGTCCAGAGTTAGTTAAAGCACTGCTGGTGCTAGTTGTTTTATTCAACTTACTCATTGTATCTCGGCGCACACACAATGGCAATGCTTTCGGGCATCATCACTTGATATCCCGCATGCGTGTGGAGATCGCGAGAACTCATAAAGCACGTTTGAGTTGGGTGGGTGTGTATCCAACCCAACATCAACAAATCCTCACTCATACAGTAATCGAAAAGAGCGCTTTCATTTTCCGTTTCACACGTGTCAGGGGTGGATTTCTGATCTGGAATAAGCAGGCAGCGGACAAAAAGGGCGTTGTTGACGGGCGTTCCACAGAGGACACCGCAGGTCTCCAAGCCAGCTGCCGTGTTCTTTGAGGCGATTTCCAGAAACTTGGACCGCAAGCTACCAGGGAGGAATATTGACCGAATAGGATCGCCGTTTTCGAGATAGCCTCCAGGCTTAAAGGCGAGGCGCTCTTTCTTCGGTTGAGGTATTTCCACCGAGTCTTTGGGTGGAAGAGGAGGCTGATGAAGATCAACCAACGGCCGTGGGGTGGCATCTAGCGGTTGATAGTCATCAAGATGAGCCTTACGGGGCACCTGGGGCGGAATAGTCGAGTTTGAAGTGTCGAATTTTTCTTCGTGCCGCAAGGGAGGCAGGTCGAAATGCTCCTTTGGCGGTCTAGTAGGTTGTGGCTCCCTTGATGATGAATACCGGCTTTGTTCGTAATCAATAGGCCTGGACTTGGAGAGGGATGGGTAGTAGTAGTTATGAGTGGTCACTGGAGGACTCCTATCGTGATCTTCCAAAGCTGCGTCAAGGTTTCTGCGCTCCTGCGCCATGTCAAGCGTACGGCGCGTTGCCTCCATCTGTCTTCGAAGATCGCCATCGTCGAGCTGTGATGTTCTATTCGCTGTGTCCCGTGCTTCCCAAACGCTACTATGCTTGCTCGCGCGCTTATCTCGCTCTCGCCGGCTCAGCTCTTGCTGTGCTAAATCCACTGCTAGATCCTGGTGCTCCGCCGCGTCTAAAATTCTTGCATTACCGCTTAAACTTGGATCTCGCGCTGCAAAGTTTGCATATGACGATGCCGCCTGCTGCTTATGTCGCTCGATAGCGGGAGATGGCGCAGCGCGTTCCCATTCCTCATACGCAGCCTGAATCTCGGGTTTTAGTTGCTCAAGATCATCGACGACGCGTGGAATCCGCTTCGATAGTATTTTAAATGCCTTTTTGTTTTCGGGGTCTTTGAATTGGGGGTGGGTGGGTAGAAATTTCAAGACCAAAACGGAGTGTCGATAAAGCATCATGTAGGCTCGTCCGTAATCGCCATCCGATAAAGCAAATGATGCCTTGATATCAGGTCAGCGCGTGGGGTCCAATGAGTAGAGAAACAGCGGCATGTCTGCACACACCTCTTGATAGAGTGTATCAGCAGCCCGGATCCAGTGCTTCATAGCGATATTAACGTTGAAGGCAAAGTTCTCGGCCTGAGCTACCAGCTCCTTGATGCTTTGCGGCCGGCCCGCGGCCATGCTCGAACGAGTCTCCATTGCGATATTGGAAACGATGGCTGTTGGAATGTGGCTGGGGAGCGTCTCTGCGAATCCTGGACTTTCTAGGGGAAGTATCTCATGCTAGAAGCCCAGGCCGCCGCCAAATATTGCAGAGCCGGAGAGCTGCCTGGCAGGCAGAAAGATTAAATGTTCGTTGTTACTGGCAAACTTGCAACTAACAGAGGCAGCAGTTGACGTCGGCCCCTCCAGAGCAATATGGCGGGGCAGAACACCGCTGTAGGCAGGGCGAATAGAGGGAGGGTTTAATTGCATGTGCAGTAAGCTGGCGCGCCGCCAATGAGTGCAAAAGTGTCTATATCGCGAACAAATCTTAAAAGGGGGCGGCGCCTAATCATGGAACTCAGCAGTATGTTCCATGGTGAGTGAACACACATGAAAGGGTTTGTAGCCCGGGAGAAAGTTCTTGGATGTGGTGCCAAATTACATGTAGCTTTTCATTTGATTTATCTGTCTCGGCATCTATTGTCCGCCAATGGCCCCCTGCGCCCCTGCCTGGATCTGGATAATCTCAGTCTTCTTCTTCTCGATGTTCCCCTGCGTCTCCTTGATCTGATCCTCCAATCTTGTACTGCGTAAGGTTAGCTGTGCCCTTGAAGCCAGAAAGTCAACTGTGTATAAATAAAGCATGGTGACCAACATTTCGCCTCCGATGAAGTCTAGCCGGCCCTTGACGGTGCTCTCCGCCTCGAACTTTTCCTGCTTCAGCAAGACTGGGCCTACAAGTTTGTAGATGGTCTCATCCTCATCGAGGTTCTCGAATTCCTTCAGGCTGTTAGTTTCTAGAGGTTTTGTCTAGGCCCCTCACTGAGGAGCTGGGGGACGCCAACCTTTTGCACTCCGAGGTTCTCCTGTCTCTGGCCCTCTAGCTTTTGGCGTGAATCCACTGCGCTTTGGAGATCTAAAAGAGGTACACATTAGAAGCCGGTATTCTATTAAGATGAAGTATGGCTAAGTGCAATAGAGGTGGCGTCGCGTTACTCACCCTGCTGGAGTTTTTGAAACTCCTCGGAAAGGGACTGCAACTTGGCCTGGACCTCGGCCATCTTTGGAGCTCACCGCGTGATGGTTATCTTCTCTGCTTGGTCAGTAAAAGCCAGCACAGTCCAATCCCGCGGAATCTTATATATCAGCCTAATCTTACCTGACACGACTGGTTGATTCGATGAGTGCTAGAGTCGAATTGGTGACGCCCCGCTAAGTAACAGCAGGCAGCTCCAAATTGCGCCCCGTTAAAGAGGTAAAATGTTACCCCGCCAGCAGTTCAGTAGCGCAGGTACGGGTTCCTTGTTTTGTTATCCAGTTCATGGCATCACTGCGCTCTGTTGATAAAGCCCGACCTTCCCCTGGTGACCAGCTCGATTGGCCCGTCGAATCCTCCCAAGACGGCCTATAAGTGATAAGCCCCGAGTCCTTCTCTGAGGCTGCATTGCCGTCGTCTTTTTCCGCTCGCGTCATCCTCGAATACAGCAAGGCAACCATCATCATGTCCGTCAACTTTCGAGACCGGGCCATCGCCGAGGTCCAGAAGGCTATTGCCGCGGACAACGAGAAAGAATATCAAAAAGCCTTCGATCTCTACATGTCGTCGATGGAGCTGTGGGTCAAGGCCCTCAAGTGGGAGAAGAACAAGGCAATCAAGGCCACCATGCAGGAGAAGATGGCCACTTACTTGGACCGGGCCGAAAAGCTGAAGCAGTTCCTGCAATCCGAGAGCGAGGCCAATGCCGGTGGCGGGAAGACCCCCATGGGAGCCAATGGATCCAGCGCGGGAGGCAAAGCCAAGCCATCAGCAGAGGACGAAGACAACAAGAAGCTTCGCAATGCGCTGTCGGGCGCCATTCTCCAGGAGCGGCCAAACGTGAGATGGGAGGATATTGCTGGATTGGAGGGCGCCAAGGAGACATTGAAGGAGGCTGTCGTGCTGCCCATCAAATTTCCAAACCTGTTTCAGGGCAAGAGACAAGCATGGAAGGGTATCTTATTGTACGGCCCACCAGGAACAGGAAAGAGTTACTTGGCCAAGGCCGTGGCGACGGAAGCAAACAGCACGTTCTTCAGTATCAGCAGTTCTGATTTGGTGAGCAAATGGATGGGTGAGAGTGAAAGGTGAGTTTCTACTGGATGACGATGGTGGTTCACTTGCCGTGGTGGCTGACGGTTATTTGCATTTAGACTTGTGAAGCTCTTATTCTCCATGGCAAGAGAGAACAAACCGTCTGTCATCTTTATTGACGAGATTGACGCTCTTTGTGGCCCCCGAGGTGAGGGCGAGTCCGAGGCTTCTCGACGTATCAAGACGGAAATCCTAGTGCAGATGGACGGTGTCGGCAACGACAGCAGGGGCATTCTTGTGCTGGGCGCAACCAACATTCCATGGCAACTGGATGCTGCTATTCGTCGACGTTTCCAGAGGCGTGTTCACATCGGCCTACCCGACCCCAACGGGCGAGCGAGGATGTTCAAGCTTGCTATCGGAGATACAGACACTGCTTTGGAAGCCAGCGACTACAGCACTCTGGCATCACTGTCGGATGGTTTTTCGGGAAGCGATATCAGCAATGTTGTTCAACACGCTCTCATGAGACCTGTTCGGAAGATTCTGCAAGCGACTCATTTCAAGCCTGTATGTTTCAGAGTTTGCTGACTCACTGCGCAACTCGTGCTCTGCTGACACTAAGAATCTCTAGGTGATGAAAAATGGCAAGAGAATGTTGACTCCTTGCTCTCCAGGAGACCCGGAGAGAATTGAGATGACGTACGACGATGTTAAGCCAGATGAGCTAATGGCTCCAGACGTGGCACTCCAGGATTTCGAGATAGCTTTGGGCGACTCACATCCTACAGTGTCCAAGGATGACATTGAGAGGCAAATTGAATGGACGAATGAATTTGGAAGCGAGGGAGCTTAGGCAATGGGCGTGTCTTTGAAAGCACATGGCACAGCGGCGCTTTGAGGAGTTAGAGGGGCATCTAGGCACTCTTTGCACATACAATGTTGAATTCGGGAATCGTAATACATCTGTCTTACTGGAAAAGGAAAAGAAGCTGTTCTTATTCGATTCTTTTTATGGTAGATAGGAGGTCGATGTCTTTGTAGGATGTGATTATTTTTGAGTCCAAGATGAATTGTCATTGCTTTTGTGATTCTATCTAAATCAGGTAATATTATATGAGATAATGATTGTTTCCCTTTCCAGAGGAGAACAAGGGCTTCTCGCAAATCCGCATTGCAATGGCTACTGTTAGCATAATGCTGGGATAGGAATAAGAGTGGGTAGCAAGCCCATTAAATTCGGTGAGAACCCCACCACACCGAGCCTCACCTAGAATTCTCTGTAACTCGAACATTTTGCAGCCATTTTCAACCCTTTTCCTCACCACGCCACGACACCTTATCAGCCTCTTTTTCTCTCTTCTTCATGTCATTTCGTCTTCACAATGGACACGCAAGCTTGGCGAGGTTGCTGCGCCAGCCTTCAGCAACCTTTGCCCGTGGGGCGGCGACTAAAGCAAAGGCTCCCGACATGCTGAAGGCGACAAGCACCGTCGCACAACAGCTTGAGAAAACGGGGATATGGAAACGCAGGGGCGGCAGAAAGGCGAGTAATGCCCCGAAAGCGATAGAGCCTCACAGAGTAAACATTGTAAGCGAAGGGCTTTGCGGTATGCATCTCCGTGGAATAGCATCACTCTGTTATATACCACGACAGAAGCCTGACTAGTGTTTTAGACGATATCATCGAGTATTTAGGCACATCATTAGAGCGCCATAGAGGATGTGACTTGATCGATTTAAATCCTGGTACAGGAGTGTGGAGCCGCAAACTTCATGACTTTTTGGAGCCTCGCAATCACATCATGATGGATCTTGACGCCGAATTGTACAGCCCATTTCTCAAGGATCTCACTTCTAAAGAGAATGTGCAGCTTCTTCCAAAATCGGGAATCGTATGGAAGAACCTGTTTGAGATGATCCAGACAAAGCTCTCTCACCAAGAAGCGCTCTCCAATGGGGAAGGAGAGCCAAGACGCAACGACACGCTGCTGGTTACAGCCAACTTATCCAGCTACCCGAAGAAAGCATTCCTTGGATTCGATAGCATTAGCACAATGGTCATGTATCAGTTCATGTCTAGCATCAAGTCCTCTTCCCTATTCCAGAAATATGGGTTGGTCCGCATGCTCCTGTGGGTGAATGACGATGAGAAGCGCCGGCTCATTCCCAAGTCACTGAATCGCCGTAAGCGAGGCTCATTTGAAGCTGAGCTTGCGTGTGAATGGATTCATGAGGTGGCGGGACAAGAACTGGAAGCTGAAAACCGTCATGCGCTGCGCGACGATTGGATAAACAAGGAGTCCGCCCTTAATACACTGGCGAGGATGGAAGCACTGGGCCTCATGGTACCCAAAGGACGAGAGGTAAAGATGTATAAGGATTCACTCAAATCGAAGCATCTCATAGGCAAAAAATTGGCCGGCGTTAACGTGCCCGATGTCCCGCGGCCTTTCAAGAAGGAGCTGGAGGACCTCGAGCACGAATTTGAAGAGGAACATGTGGAGTTACCGAGTCGGCTAAAGACTCTTCGGAGTAGAGAAAAGTATGAGGCCAATCACTCCAACAAGTTCCTAGAATTACTTCAGGAGTACGAGAGGATATCAACCATGGGTATGGAAAATGCGAGCGCGTTGGAAGAAGCCAACGAAGCCTGGAACGAAAAGATTGACAACCTGAAGAAGAATCAGCGTATGGAGCTCAACGTTCTGAGAGACAGTTATCATCTGTTTCGCCAAAGCCCCCCAGCTTTGCTCTGGGATCGGCGAGAATATGAGCCGCTCAGAGCCATGCCAGACGAATTCTTCCCGAATTCGCCGACGGCCCTTCTGGATATACAGCCCAAGGCCATGCATCCACTGCTCCGACAGATTGGCCCCAATAGCAACCACGCAGGCGACATATCAGACATTATGCTGCGGTCCTGGTGGAGCATGACTCTCCAACCGGTAGACAAGGCGATGGAAAGCCTATGGCCCGGTTTCAGCGATCTATTTTCAGAGGTGCCGAGTTTGAGAGATGCCTCACGGGGAGGAGTACCAATGACGGGGCATGGAGCGCTAAGTGCAAGAGCCATCAACGAGGGGCAGTGGACTGAGCTGTTGGAGGTGTGGATGAGATGGCCATTCCGACCGACATATGGGCAGATGCTGGGCAGGATGACAGATGAAGATGGAGACGCAGAGGATGAAGATGTGAGATCTGGCGGTATTACAATGCAAGTTTAGATTTGTCATGCTGGCATGGCGTTTGGTGTACGATAGAGGGGTGAGAGTGTAACTCAGGTACTCATGATATACGAATGATCACTTTTTGACGAAACAGTGTGCCACCTCACGTACGAGCAGAGTTCAATGTCAAGGAGCAATTGTAACCAGTGACAGAGAGTATTGACTCGATATTATTATCATTATTGTACAGTATCTTGGTGAATCATTACTCGTCTCTTAATTAGAATACTTGGGGTCGACCTTTTGACTAAATTCCGCATACAACGTTAGTACACACATTCAAGCTAGAGTTTAACAGCCGTTGTACATACCCCGTTGCCTTTTCATACATGCTACGGCCCGCATCCGTAATCTTCTCCTGGGTGTTGCGGTCGATGTTGTGGCCACTCTTCTTGGCGCCCATGGCAAAAGCTAAAGCCAAAGACATGTTATGTTAGCCGCATTCTTAATTGCCTACTGAAAAGGAGGAAAGAAAAAATTGTGAACTGCTCGGGGAGGAAATTGGCTTACCCTTGTCAACGTAATCGTCTTTTTGGGCCTGGCCGCCTTGAGCTTGGGGAGCTGCGGGAGCTGCGGCGCCGGTTCCTTGAGCACCTTGCTGGCCTTCGGCCTTGCCCATAGCCTTCTTGACGAAATCCATTGCGAGAATTGAGTTGGTTTTCTTTGAGTATTGACTTGAGAATAGAGCTTGAGAGTTTACTTGTGAAGAGCCAGTTCTGACAGCAGAGTTGAGGGAAGCATCTAGCTCATTTATAACCTCTCCCCCTCAGTGGCTTATTCGCGGGAACCAATTGAGCTCCTCAATTACAGCCATGGCTGACGGCATGACTGACGGAATCGAATTGCTAGGTACCTGGAATAATGACGGAACGGCCAGAGAGGTGCCTCATTCCACACATCGAATCATAGCATGGTGGGCGATGATGCTCTTCTCCTGCTACGTCATAATGTGCTTGACCAAGTATCAGCATGTGACGGAGAAATCCTGAAACTAACAGATTGGCCAACTAGGCGGAAGTTTATTGGGAAAATTGGGGCTTCAGAAAGAGACACTAGAGATGCCCTGGTTGTGGCTCTGATGCCGATCTTGCATCATACCTTATTCGATCGGCACTGTCATCCCTCCGTCAAGTTTGCGAAGAAAGGATGTCGAGATTCGGCTCGATCAACCATCCAGCTTTCTAATTTGATGATGTACAAGTGCACTTATTGACGTATTTTTAGATACAAAACGAAGGTCGAGATGGAGGAGAATAATGAACTAATATATGTACATTTAATCGCTAGTAGTGGTGGCATACAGAAACTATACGGCTACGATGCTGAATACCCACCCCTATGATTTAATATGCCTCTCTGAGACTTCAGCTAGTTGTACTATAATTGATTCATATTTGCAATGGACATTAGTTCACATATGACCGCTCTCCACGACTCGGTGGACGGCCTATTGCCTCTATTACCGCTAACCTCACCCATGTATAAATCTACAGCCGTTGTAATGTCTGGAAACATAAACCAAGAGTTCCAACCAAGCAAACAAATTCCAACGCCCGCTCATAATGCATGTAAACGTTAAACGTTCAAAATCATCCAACATCCATAAATATCCGAACGGCATCCATGACGGCGCCAACATGAGATACGTTAATATTGCCGGCTCTCATGAAATGCCTTGTTTGTTTCATCAACACCAAGTGATCGTCCAGCCATAGAGATTGAAGCATAGTCGAATTGGCTTCGCTATTGGCCAACACTTGACCTGAGACAAAGCTTGCATCACTTGATTCTTACTTAAAGAAAGAAAGAAGCCAACCCTCCTTCATTCTTACTTCTCATCTCCATTCCATCTTTGTTTGGCGTCGGTGTCATGATCTGGCAAAAACCTGGTAAGCCATAATCATAACCCAAAACAGAAAGATGCCTCCCGTCAAGGCCATGGCAAAGACCAAGTCCCAGCACTGGCATATCATCTTCTGCTGCAGCCATGCCAACGTCTCCTGCGTCCGGCCCTTTGGATTCTGGTTGAAAACGTTCATATCGCACGTGCTCTGAATGGATCCGTTGGGCCCCCAGAGCTCGAGCGAAACGACGACGAGGCCGACGATCCACAAGACAAAAAGCATAAAGGCGCCAATCATGACAATGGCGGGCAGCAGTCGACGTTGGGCGATTAACCAGAAGATGCCGAATATGAAGAGGATTGCAATGGCGCCGACGGTGATGAAGTAGGGAAAGTACCTATTAGGCGTTTGGTGTTAGCGTTCAATTGCTTCGTTCATGGACGAGGAAGAGTGCGGTAAACCATACCAAGGAATAGGCAGCTCGAGTTGATTCTGGATCTGGATGAAGCTTCCGAAGACGCCGATGATGGTGCAAGAGCACAGAAGCATGACGAAGATCCAGAAATTGAGTTGCAAAGGTGGCCAGTTGTAGGTTCGGATGTGAGTCGTCACGACCTTGCGCTCGTAGACGACAGAGGTGCCGCTCAGCATTGAGCGTGATCCCGCCATCATGACGCTGGAGTTTGGTGTTGATACAGCCCGTATTCCTGCCTGTTGCGGTTGTTCTCTACCTCCACCTATAAGCTAACGCTCTCTAGGCGTATCAAATCGACCTCCCCTAACTGTATGTATATAATCGTCTTTCGCTGCGTATCGAGGCTAATGGGGGCAACGTCTTGATTGTTGGTTGATTCCGTGGGTCAATGGTTATGTCTGTTGGTGCTTTTCGTGTCGTCTATGGTCTAATATCGTTGGACAAGATGTCGGTATATAACGAGCGAGACTCGGCTCCAAGGGACTACAGCTGACTTGATCTGTCGCCTTGTCGGTTCCAATAGGTGAGGTGATGCACGTTGGCGGAGCTACCGCTTTCTCGTCCTTGTTCCGCGTCCTTGATGACTGTCCGTCTGATGCCCCTCTGTCTCCCACATGTACAGAGTACCGGTACAAGGCAAACGAGAGAAGAGGCGATCAGAGGAAAAGCCCTAGCCGCCCTGTCGGATGCCGGGCCCTCGATGCGGGTTCCCCCCCCAAAGGCCTGGGTCTAGGTCTGCTTGGCCTTGCTGCCGCGACCTTGAGCGCCCAACCAGCTGCGGTGCACGAGCCCAAGCCCCCACTGCTGGAAGAAGCGTGTCGAGCACTGATTGATGAGTCTGGTCGAGGAATGTCGGTCGAATGAATCTTCAGGCCTCCCCTTGCATGTGCGTCAGTCTTTGAAGGCGTGAACCAGGGGGGGAAGAGGGTTGAAAGAGCTTCTACGTACGACGACTCTGGTGAGACTATTGATTCCCACCGCCTCAACTCGTACTTGGGAGATGTGACAGGTGAAAAGAAGGAGAGAGAAAAAGAGGAGCAATTGCCAACAGCCGATGCGACAGCTCATGTACGTACTTGTCCATGCAAGTGTGCGCGTTGCTGCAAACGTCGAGTTGGGCTGTTAGTCCGAGTCCAGGGAAGAGCGCGATGAGGGGCCATGATGGATATTATTAGAGGGCGGTATAGCTGCTTCGAGGTGGCTGGCAGCTCTTGGTTCGTGTGTTTCCTCTTTTTGACAGCCAAAAATAAGATGGCTGGGGGGGGGGGGGGGGGGGGGGGGGCGGGAAAAGGCTCAGGCACAGAGAGCTCGTAGCCTATTATCCGTGACACGACTACAACTAGCAGCCGTTTTTATCCACTAAGGATCTTACATTGGCAAAGACAGTTACAGTAAAACTCTGTGTTCAAATAACGTTGGTGCTCTACGACATCAACATTGATTGGCATGAGCCAAAATAAGCTGCCTACCATGTACTCATCCAGCCATCCATGTAAGCAGACCTCACCATAGGGTTGCATGCATCGTCCTGTGCGTCCTTAGTCGGCCTTTGATATTCAAACGTTTCCCTTACCGCCTAACATCACCGCCCTTATCATCCCTTCCCTCCACTCTTCTCTTACTGTACATGTTGCTGCTTTAACTCGCCCCATAGCGGAGAAGCGGGCCTTTGCCGCGATTCGCAAAGCGTCCGGGGAGTCGAATCCCGCCTCCGGGCCTCCACCGCCTTGCCTCTGTTCCGGTACGCCGCTGGGCTGCTTATTGGCGTACAGTACATATACTCGTATTCACATGGTTGAACGGGGGAGTATACAGAGTACAGAGTACAGAGTACAGAGTACAGAGTACAGAGTACAGAGTACAGAGTACAGAGTACAGAGTACAGAGTACAGAGTACAGAGTACAGAGTACAGAGTACAGAGTACAGAGTACAGAGTACAGAGTGCAGAGTGCAGAGTGCAGAGTGCATACATTAGTTCATACAGGCTGTACAGCTTTTATTTCCGGCACTGATGTGACAAGAATGAGTAACACTCAACGCTTCCCACTTCTCCTTGCCCTCTGTGGGTTGTGGCATGAGCAGGGATCTAATCATTGAATCTGAAAGGTACCTATAATCTTTGGCTCACCTTCCGTGGCAATGTGTTTGCATCAGATATTAAGGCTGTCGTAAGCAAGGTAGAATACAAGTATATTTCACTAATAGACAGTCTCCTATCAAATTGAGGCCTTTCAGTCTCGCCCGTATACATTTACATCAAAATGCTGTGAATATCAAGCTATTCATCAAATCATCATCCTCTTACATATGTCTATTCCCTATCGTCCGGGTGGAATACCAAGGCTCGGACCTCAATACTCTCCCGAGTTGGCGCATTTGAAGGCGAGCTCGAGTCCGAGAATGCGGTGTGCGGTACCCGTCGTGCTCTTCCGTCCGTCTTGCTGTCAAAGCACTTAATGAGGAGGACTTCCTCAGGCGTCAAGCCAGACTTGTAGAACCACTTTTGTCCTTCGTTATATCTCACGCTGAGCGTCTCTCCATTCCGGGTAGGGTAGATCAACCCTATTGGCACGAGGTCTTCTTCTACAACCGAGTCTGCCTCGGCAACGGCTAGGGGATCCCGCTGGATCTGCTTGATCGGACGCCAGACATTGATGATCTGTACGCGACCCTTTGTGAGCTCTTCCGCTTCCTCGGGAAGGTGATACGGAACGCGCGACAGGGCCGCTGTGTAAGACTGATCGATGTGGACGCGCTGGACAGGGCCACGAAGGGCGGCATTCGCCGCGGCGGCAGTGTCGTCGGGGTTGTGGCGGCGGATAGTATGATCAAAGATAAAGATTTTGGATGCTCCGGTCCTATACGGCAAATGTCAGCGTAAGGTGAAAGGCGAAATGCAAAAATGAACGAGCATGGAGCTGCGGAAATGCACTTACACATCCTTGAGGAGTTGCTCTGTCTCCGGATAATAGCTTGCCTTGATCTGTTCATCGTCCAAGAAGTCCTTCTCAATGGAAGTATGGCGATGTATCTGGAATCCGCTCTTGTCGAGGGTGTACTTATCCTCTTCTCCCGCAATGTCGTTGATGGTTACCTGGTGCGATGCAATCGGCCTATTGATAAACGTCTCAGGCTTTCCAACATATGAAGGTTCTGGAGGAGAGCCGTCCTCGTTATCCTTGAAAAAGTTGAGAATGGTGTTTACATCGTGCTTGGGAATGCTCTTATAAGTAGTTTGCTGATCAAGCTGTGGCTGAAATTGGACTCCCTGGACGGAGTTGAAGCCAGAGTTTGGGATGGCACTCTGAACTGCTGCGGCTGCCATTGTGCTCTCTCTCTTGATATGGTCTTTACAGATTTATTAAGGGAGATGATATTTTAGTTTATTATTTTTTGCAAGTGAAGAGAATAGGTGTGTATACGTCATGCAGCAGGATGTATAGTCTCACACATCCTAAATATATATGATATCCGATCTTGCAACCGTTCCCCGCGAGCACGCCATTTCTCTACCACCCATCATCAGGAGGGATTGATAATCCAACCCAAAAGTGCACCTCTAATCCAATACAAACGTAACGTCATAATCAGGAGTTGACACGCCCTTCCCCTCAGCTGTTTATTCCGAGGCACACGGATTGATTTGAAATCTGCATTTGTGAGTCTCGCATTCGGTGTCTTGAAGGAGCGCCAAGGAGTGGGGACGGCAACCCAGGATCATGAATTGGGCTTTAATGTGATAGCTCAGCTAAAGTTTGATCCTTTGTGGCTTCTTTAACCCATCTGAAATTTTGATCTTATTGCTGACGAATTGTACGCGCCAGCTAGCTCTCATCATGAATAGTTAATGGATAGGTGAATCATCTCAATAGGCTTCATCTACGGAATTGCGGTAAACCCTGAATATGAGGCCGGAAACTTGGCATTAGAAATACATATTAGGACATGGAAACACAGTAGTTTGTAAGAATTCAACGCTATGCAGCAATAAAAAAGAATAGCTGTCATATCATGAGACAGCTCTCAAGCTCAAGCTCTGCTTACCACGCAGAACCTAAAAAAATGGAAATATGGCTTCTTACAGATGCAAAATAGACGAACTTAGTAGAGCTCATAGATCGAAACAAGCTCAGCTTGGATCATTCATAGTTATGCACGAGCCTTGTAATAGACGTCCCGTCATCAAGTACTTCGCTCTTTTCTTCCAACTTGTAACCTCCCCACTTAGGTAGAAGAATAGTCCAAATATACCAATACACGACGCCCGCCACGATGCTAAAAAGATAGAGCAAAAGTCAGTATCAGTTCATCAGCAATTTTTACTGGGGAGGAGAATAACGTACGTGCCCATCCCCACTACCGCATACGTTGCATACCACAGCCCTCCAGAAGGCTTCTCCTTCGGAGGGAAGAACGGGGCAGCAAGCAGCGCAACGCTCAAAATAACTCGGAGTATAACAGCAGGTAACCATGCTTTATAAGGTCTCTTGAGATCCGGCCGCTTAAACCGTAGCCAGACAAGGCCAACACCCATGGCAAGTGTAAAGACCTGGCCTGGATATCCCTCTACTTCGAGGATGAAGGAGTATACTTCCGTCGTGGGCGGTAACACAATCACAAGAAATGAAGGTATAAAGTTGACGATAAGGCCGCCCAACGGCGAGTTGAAAGGCTTCGTCGAAGCAAGAAAATCGGAAAAGGGCAGAAAGCCCTGCCTGGCAATCTCCTGTTTTAATCGTGCCTAATGCAAAAGTTGTCAGCTCCGTTTCATTCAAATGGGCCTTCCTGTTGTGGCTTTGACATTGCAAACTAGAACTGTAATTGAACTTACCATTGCAAACGCAACAACAAAAACATTTCCCACTGCTGAAAGAGCAACGGCAAGCGGTAAGATCTTTCTACCCACTTGCTCACCAAACACGCGCTGAAAAAATAGTGCCGCAATGAGCTCGCCACTCCCCTTGATTTCATCAATGGGAACAACGATGAAGTACGCCACGTTGATGAGTGTATACATGGCACATGAAGTAGCCAAGGCAGTCAGTGTTACGGAACGCAGAGTCCGTACAGGGTCTTTAACCTCGTTCAACACGTTGCTAACATTATCCAATCCGGCGTAAGCATAGAACACTTTGAACAGTGATGTCGACATAACGCCCCAATTCCAAACACTGTCGTCCCATAGATGGTCCCATGATAACGGATTTTTGTGTGTTGAGGTGTCCAGAGTTGGTTGGAAGACCACAACATAGAGGCCGGCAAAAATCATGAAGACGATAATTCCAACCTTGATCCAGCCAAGGAAGTCCTGTATTTTGATACCCGCTTTTGGAGTCACAGCGTGAATGACAGTAACGGCGACCAGAAGAACAACAGCTAGGCTTTTCGCTACCAACGCACTTGCATTTTCCACGCCAAACGCAAAGAGCACGTAACGGCTGAAGATGACGCAGTTACTAGCAGTAAACCCCAGAAACACTGCATTGATGGCGACTTGCGTCGTCGCAAAGAGCCGTGGATGTCTATATGTAAACTCGAGATAGACCTTGACGCCTCCGGATCGCGGCAACATGCAGCCGTACTCAAGAGACACGGCCAAACCGGCGGCTGCAACCAGCGTGCCAACAATCCATAATAGTAACGCTAGGCCAGGGCTGCCTACCGACTGGAGAATGGCTCCAGGCGTCGCGAATATGCCGCTGCCGATGACTCTGGATATTACGAGGATGTAGGCGCTCTGCCAGCTTAATGTTCGGCCAAGAGTGGACGTCTCCGGTAGTACGTCATCTTCGATAGCCCGAGATGGATGAATGTCTCCAGCTGCGTTTTCCGTTTCGCTCAGCGTCGCTGTCGTATCATATTTGTTGTCGTCTGGTCTTGAGGATAAGGGGCTTGGAGCATTCTGAAGCAGCGGCTGCTGTTCTCCATTATAAGCATCACTATCACGGCCAGCCATGATGTATGCTTGGCGATGTAGCCTTGTAAACGGAGCTTGTAATAATGTCCAGGCCTGTCCAGTTGCTTAAGTATAAATCGCAAAGCAAAAACGAAACTCTCTTCTCATGGTTTGCTTATCGGGCACGAAAAGAGACTTGCCACTGCCCAACGGCTTGCTCGGTTCATCGAAACAGCATTGCTACCCAGAGCCATATCGCAGCCCAGATATCAAATCAACCGAGGGTGAAACGCACGCACACACGCCAGGTCATCCGAGGATCCCACGCTCATCAAAGGGCAGCGTGACACGCACACAAGACGCGCCCTCGTCAGCCAAATCGTTTATTGCGCGATTGGCTCGATTAATAAGGCAGACAAAGGCAGACAAAGGCAGACAAAGGCAGCTGTTGAGACAAGTACATTTCATGGCGCGAGTGCAAGCAGCTCGCACGCCATCGCCCTTTTGCCGCAGATAAGAGATCAGCATTTGGGCTGCTCCTTATCATTCCGGCAACGATGCCGGAAAGGCTAAATAGATTCCACGGATGCCGTTTCGATAGTGCGCGGAGCATAGTACATAGATCGGAGTCTAATTATATGAGGAGTCTTTTGCTATGCAAGGGTAGCCCTGTAATTGAAGGCAGAGCAATGCGCGACATTGATTGAAAGCTGCATGCTCTTAAAATGAGACTTGGATACACTAATTACATAGGTAGCTATGTACATATTTTACACCACCACCCAACCTATAACATGTCCCGTTTCTCGTTGCAAAGATCAATTAATGTCCCAAAGTTGTACCTCAGTAATGGCCCCAGGGCATACAAGTGGTTATTAATCGAGTTGCCAGCCAGATCTCTATCCTAACTCCGTTTGATAGTCTAGCAATTTGTCTACCCGATGGGGGTTTCTAAAAAACAGCGACCATTGAATTGCTGGGTGCATTGTATGAATGGAATCTGCCCGCTTCTTCCAAACGTGTTATGTTTATGGTAATGAACACAAGTAAGGAATACACTGAAGCAATTTAAAAAAATAACTGCACTCAGTTTGAGTCTACCTCGATCGTTAAGAGCCATCAACAATGGCTCACCATTGTGCTGTCGAAGGCAACCCCAACCATTCGTAAAGGATTAAACTGACGGCATTTGACTGCGGACCATATAGCCCGTCATCCTAAAGAAGCTGTCGATGCCATAATTTAAGTGGTCAAAAGAACCAGTGATGCTGATTAGGTTCACCTCAGATTGCATTCCGACCTGGAGAGATATCATGATGACGAATGTATTGCATCTCAAACTGGGGTTGCATATACATGCTAATAGACGCTCAAATACTATCTGGCAATGCCTCTTCAGTCAGTATATCCTTTTAATAAGAGGCAAGAGTCACGACATAGCAGACTCAAGAAATAGTTCAAGGGTCTATGCATAGCAAACCGCTCAATTACCCTTCGACTGGGATTTCGAGGGAAAGTCTCCCGAAGAACATCATGATAATACGTTTTGATACCGATCTGCACTCCATCTACCCTATTTACAACCATTATGGGAATCCTTCCACCATGGCCTTCAGCACCTGCGCAGCTGTTGTTTTAGGAGGTGCCAGTGCCGTGACCTCTTTGCTGATTGGGCGATAGTCGCGTGCACATCTTCCTGCCCATAGAACCCCAACAGTGGTAAACATGGCAGGAAGAACATTATCCGGGATACACATACTCCTGAGGGCATTGAAATAAACGTCCATTGCGGAGTACTTCACATTCTCAACCTTCGCACCAATGTAGTCCGCGACCATCTTGACAATATCTCTTCCTGCAAAATTCTCAGGGCCGTGGAGAATATACTTGCCATGGTTGTGTGGCGACACATCATCAAGGGCTAGGAGGTGTGTGGCAAAGGTGCTAATGTCTTCGGGATGAGTCAATTTAGCAGGAAATTCTTCAGACGAAAATACTGGCAACACTACTTGCTCTCCTGTCTGCTTATACTCTACAATCCAGCCAACGGCAGGGTAAAACCAGTACGGGGTTAAGAAGTTTGGCTGAGGGGACGTCCACTGCAGCTCTGCGTACTCTAGTTAGCTCAACAGGTTCTCGATTGCCCAGTGTGTGCGGCCGTATGTGGTGGCAGCTGCAGGATACATGGATTCCATGAAAGTCGATATCCGAACGACATACTTGACACCAGCTTGTAGCAGAGCTAGATGAAAGTTGGACTCCTCCGCGGACTGGTAAGGCAAGTTGTGCGGCGCAATAAAGACTCGCACTACTCCCTGTCTCTTAAGCCACTCAGCGTCAGTATCAAGCTAATCCTTCTCTAACCACTCGATACCTTCCACCTCTTCAGCAAGCTGCTTGGACATCGGGCTATTCAAGGACCGGGTGAGCGCAACAAAGCGGTACTTGGTGCTGTTTGGTTTGAGTAGCGCAGGAAGACCACGGACAACGCCCGTTAATGAGAATCTTCGGAGCCATTATGATTTGAGCATCTGTAATACCGTAGGAAGTTGATAGGTATTGATAAGTTGGCCAAGCGAAGAAAGAGTCAGAAAGCCCCTCATTCATAGTAGTCCAGGTAAACAGTGAAATTAATAGTCGAATAGAGCGGTCACCTCTTTTACATGCTATTTGCTCTGCTCTCTCTGCTCACTTGTTTTTGATGTTGATCTCTCGGACTACTCACTCGCAATCGTTACGCCACTACGCACCAATATATTTCACGCTGAGGAGACACTCCAGTGTTATGCTGGTAACGAGAGAAACGAAGGACGACATATCTTCACATGATGAGATTTGTTCATTTGATACAAGTGGACAATTAAGCATAAGGTGGGTAACTGCAAAGAGAGTGTAGCTGGAACTCGGACCTGGGAGTTGCATCAAGACTATATGTCTGCACATATTGAAGTGTTCGCTGTATAAGTTTTTCCGGCGTTGAATCGCTGTGCCGGAAGATTTTGACGTTGTCAATACAACACTATCTCGGAGTTGTGGAGAAGGCGGGGAGGTGGTTTGAGCATGTAATCCGCAAAGGAGCATCGAGCCAATGGAAGAACATATCCCTCAGGCCTTTGTCATGCTCTTCAACCTTTATGGAGTATTATCTCGACAAATTATGTCTTCTGCTCCAAAGTACAAGGCTGTTTCAACGAGGGCCCCATTGATAACGACGGGATGTGGCACGTTCCCATATTACATGCTTGTAGATGTTCGAAAGAGCCCTCGGAGACCGGAGGATTGCAGGGTAATAAGCTGCGTCTTCTTATCAAAAATGTTTTAGCCAAGGCGTCGTTGGGACATTGAAATCAGAAAAATCAAAGTATTTTTCTCTCTCTCTTTAGTCTCCGGTTCTTATGATAGACTATGGATCCATAGCAGGCCGAGTTTGCGGAGGATATCGCCCAGACTAAATGGCCCCTGCCGCACAGAAGATCTCGCTGGCCCACACATCTGTGATATAGTAGATAAAGAGAGTGACTATTCAGCACTTCAAGTTCGCTATTTAGCATCCCATTCTTGAATTTAAAGTAGCTTGTGTAGCAATGACAGCAGATATTAGAGGAATATTTAGATAGCAGCAGATAGTAGCGATAGTAGCAGATACTCCAGGAACTGTGCAATATCTATTTAAGTAACGGTGATGAAAGATCTTTATTATACGTTTGTTACTCCATTAGGAACTCCTCTTAGTCGCTGAGGTGCTGGATAGCTAGCTTGGGATACTGAATAACCCTTCCCAGATAAAGGCAGAAAATGGGCGAATTAACAGGACGATATCGGGGTTTATTTGCAGGAGCGATTACTTCCTCTACTATAATTAGAATTTCTCTCGTAGCAATCGGTTGATGCGAGGACGTGTTTTTGGAATCTAAGAGTAATAATCCTGGCTTCAGATCTCCGCACTTCGGTACTCGTACAAGCTTGCTTGATCATATGTGGAGAGCAGAATGACCTACAAGCGTAAATCAACATCCTGTGACGCTGAAGCGAAACATAGGGTCTCGAATTTGCATTATCAAGAACATATTTTTTATCCCGCTCCCCAGGGTAGCTGTACGTACCTCCGCCCCCGATCCGCAGAACGGCGATCTCCCGGGCGATCGGACTACGTCGAGATCGAAAGCTGGATACCAAGCACTGGACCCTTCTAGACCGATGCCCTCATGTAAATGACTCCGCAGTTTTCAGCTGGCCTGGGATTTAGTTATCTTTTTATCAAGCATAGAGCACCACACCGTAATCAATAAAGATACTCCCCGCTCATCTAAACGCGTATATCGTTCAATTGTGGCGACTCTATTGTTTCATCTAGACTGTCTGTTCGTCTCAATAACGCGCTAGCTTGCCGATGAGCTCTCAGCACACTCACCAAGAGGATTCGAGACGGAAGTCCAGACCCAGCGAACTGAATAGTTGTGCCTAATCTCTAGTGTTATTTTGAATATCATGTAATCGATCCCCCTCCCCCTTTCGACCTTTCCGTCCAACTCCCTGAAAATGCTTAACCGGCCCTCGCTTGATCTCTTAGTTCTATATTTTGGCCGGTGTGGCTTAAGACTAAAATCTAGAGTTAATCTCAGCCTATCATTACTGTGAGGCATTATTTACATCTGAGTAGGTGCAGAGTAGTGTACTATTTTTGAACGTTGATCCTTGCATCTGTTTTCCCAACGTGTCTGGTTTATATAGATTCATGTCTGTGGGTGATTTACGCTGGAGCGGAGGCCTTGATTTATTGCCTTGTCTCACTCCTATAACATTTTATACACATCTCTGTTTGCCCCTCGCATTAATGGCCTGTGTCGCATCATCTATTTTATGTAGCCAAGCTCCTAGATCTGGCAGTCTAACATCTTGATATGTATACTAGTGGTCCGTTTGGGGTATAAATAACAAGATATTGGACTCTTATCGAATTAAAAGTGCTCTAAGAGCTGAGATGTCAAACGAGCCGCTTGGGTGAAGGATATGGACCGAAGAGAGAGTAGTGACCATGCAGTTCCAATGACATGCCTCGTCCAGGAATTGGCATCTCCGTATGCAGTCCCAGACCCAACAAGTAGGGGCGTAGACCTATCCTCTAGTGTTGTCTTCTCAGTGGATCATGGACACATTGCTCCGGAGTGAATATTCGTACACTCACACCCAGACTCGGTACAGCATTATGTTAGTCTTACAGTGACGGTATACCCGAGATTGTGCGGCTGCGGCGGATGAAGGAGCGGGATTAGGGCCGCCACAATGCAGTATATGCCTTGAATGACGTCCTGTTCAGCTGGCTTGGACACCGGAACCCCACGATATATGATATATCACTTCGTTGTACCCAACCGAGTGCATATATGTACTCTGTGTAAAAGTGGTGATTGGAGGAGCCGGGGTAAGGATCTCATGTGAACAATGGCCAGACCACCCCGAAATATGTGTGACCTCCTAGACATGGCATCTATCATGCAGCATTGCAAACCATCATCTGTAGGGGCATGCAAGTGCGGTAGTAGATTTGCACCCCTATGATAACAACATTGGCTGGGGTGGGATTATAAATGAGAAAAGAAGCAGAAATATATTGAGCACAAAACAGCCTCACAGATCCGGTCAAAGCAGCACATAAACATTTTGCATACAAACTCCCCCGTAGTCTAGCAATGTGGTCGGAGGACGACCTTGACATTAACACCCTCATTGATTCCGCGTATGCAGTCTATTGCCAGCCCCTTACGCAGTTGAATTAGGCTCCTTGATGCTCCGCTCGCAGACATATTCATTACCCGGGCTGCTTTGTCTTGCTCAGTCTATACAGAATCTTTGTTTTCCTCTCTCCGGGACGGCCTTTTCCCCCTGTTTTCTTAACAGCGCGGATGCAAGTATCCATGTACACGCATCCAACTGCACACAAAAATCGTTTTGATTACTTATGCCGGCTTAGGCTGAATGCATTTCCTCGTCACGATACGTCAATAACCAGGGGGGTTGCACCCTGCCTCTCGTCAGTGCTCTTCCACGTGTCCCTTTTCACTCCAAATTTAGGCCAAATGCATTCATTGCATTATTATATTCGCAGGAATTTATATAGGAATTCACACGTTGTACTTCTCTAAAAGTCTTACACATGTAATATACTTGAAATAATTTCTCGTATGAGGGTGCTGGGCACCGGGGATCTGTCATAAAGGATACATACGTCAGTAAATGACGCGGAGGCAGCTCCGTGTGAAACACGTAGCTCTATTGGTCATTTTGGAACTAGGCATTCAATCAGGGTCTTTGGAGCGCAAACATCCATGTACGTCACTTTATCAAGGCTGAGGATTAGGGAGCTGTCCAGGATAGCCTTGGACATTTATGCGCACACAAATCCCAACAGGGAGTCAGACGGATTGCAGGTGAGTCGTTAGGCAGTACTTTACATTGTTTCCTGCTATGGCGATCTTGTCAATTCCAATGAACCTCGTCAAACCTATCATTTCGGAATGGATGTTCCTTTTTATGTACACCTTGTCTATACCAGCTTGATACCTAAAGCCATAATCTAACCAATAATCGTGCATGATGTGCATCTACACGCCTCATTTGTCCCTTCGTCCCTGACAGCCTCGGAGCCTTGTCTCACTTAGCGATCAGCCCAGAGTGGCAATGGCTGAAAAACGGTTTGACACGGCCCCCGAAAAGAAGGGGGTAAATCACATTAACGGCACAACATCTGCACGGAGGCATTACTTAAGTCATGGGTGTAGATTCAAACAACAAAAGCAAAAAAATAAAGAAGCAAAAAAAGCAAAACCTAGCCGAGACCGCCAACCATCCCTGCCCTTCTCATCCCACATCAAGCCGCTACACGGACGAGTACTGTGACATACTCCTAATACCGTTGATATGGTTACATTCTGCGTCCTTCAGCTTGCGGTCAACCATTTTAATTTCCTCATCTGGCCGGTGCCCAGACTCAGAAACCTTCTCCCCCACTCACATTACAAAAACAAGTCATGTCTTACATTTCAACGCTAGCAACATCCGAGCCAAGGATATTTCACCACATGAGCTCTTTAGTCGTGGAGCGCGCCCCAAACTACGAAAAAAGCAATTCAAGCTGTAGTTATAGGTGTTGGTTGATAAAAACTCTGTGTCAAGCTTTCAGCCGCCTCAGCTCCACGTCTTCGGGATTCGCACCATATCAGGACGCCTTGGCCAAGTCTCACTGCCACCCGACAAAAGGGGTGCAATAGACAGCTATTTCAACGAAAACTACCTCCTGATGAGGCTAGAAGGGGCTCCTTCGCTCACATCGTTATGAGTGCCTCGGTCAGGCTGAGCGCCTCAACGGCCGCCAGGCAATCCGTCTTTTCGATTGTGAATAGTGATAGGCCATCAAGTAGAACGCCTTGGCAATATCCCGTGGACGGATATTATCAGACGAGAAAAAAAGAATGGCATCAATAGCGCTGCTGATTCAGAAATAGATGTAATCATCGTTCATGCGCATTGAGTAGATGATGAAGGACGCGAAATCCAGACTTGATTTCCAACCCCGATCTGTACCAACACAGCATGTCCCCAGCATCGCTGGCTGTTCTATGGTGCGGCTGAACCCTATCCATGCGATCGCTACTATGCTCTAAAGTCCGTGCCATCGTATCCTGTCTCTACCAAGCCTTCCGACGGTCTTCCACAAACACCTGCCGTCTATCTAGAGAATTTCCAGGGATGACGGCTTCAAATTATTCAACGTTGATAATGAAATGGTTTTGAGGAGAGGCAACTAAAGACGAAAAGGA